ACTGGTAGTCCGGTGACTCACCGAAGCCCCCTCTTCGGACCGGTCCAAGACGAACACCGGTGGTGGCTATAAAAGCCACCACCCACCTGAAAAAAAGAAAAAAAAAGAGAGACAGCAAGAAGAGAAAGAAACAGAAAAAAATACAGAGGAAAAAAATAACAACAACAACAACTACCAACGATCCCAGTCCACAGCAACAGAGCAAAAATAGAAGGAAAAAGAGAGAAGAGAAGCTTACCAGGGAAGCTTTGACCACCACCGGAATCATTAAACATCGCCGGAGAACCGAAAATACCGAAGGTATTTTCATAGATTTACTCCGATTTGGAGTCTTTTTGGGAAAACAAAAGTTGGATTCGGGCTCAGGGTGTCTAGATCTATGTTTTAGGTAAATTTGGGGAACTTCCGACCACCGGCGGCGGTGGTCGGCGGCAGAACTCACGGCGGCAGACGGCCGCCGGATTCCCTCCGGTGAGGGAATCTAGAGAGAGGCCAGAGAGAATTCTGGCTCTCTCTCTCTCTCTCGGTTTAAGAAAGAAGAAAAAAAAGAAAATGAAATGGCTGGCCCGAAGGGCCAGCCGGTTTGGGACTCTTATAGTCCTTCCCGAACGACGTCGTTTCGGGAAGGACTATATGCGTAATTACAAAATAGTTAAATCCCTTCCGCAGTCCTTCATATTTGTAAATTTTACATTTTGGTCATTAAACTGAATTTATAAGAATTTTAATTCGGTCTTTGAATTTTAATTTTATTCATTTTAGTCTTTTTAATTAAAATAATATATTTAGGATAAATGACAGATTTAATCCCTTAATTTTAATAAATAATTTTTTTAGTCCCTAGTTCATACTTTTAATCTATTTTATTATAAAATTTGAATTTTAGATAAGTTTATTTTGGTCATTAAATTATTAAATAAAAAAAAATATATTTAAACCCTATAATTTCAATTAATTAATAATTAGTAATTAGTTTTATTTTTATAAATTAGTTATTAATTTTATATGTCTTTATTTATTTTATTGTTTTTAAATATATTGTTTAATAGAATTATTATTTTATTATATTGTTAAATATTTTGATATATTTCATAAATATATATAATATATTAACTCTTAAATATTTATTTTTAATATCGAAGAAAAGGACAGTCTTAATACAACTGGATGTCCTATTCTGATGTTTTAAAATTAAACAATATTATTTAAATTAATATTTATCAATATCAAAGAAAAGAGCTGTCTTAAGGCACCTAGAAGTTCTTTTCGGATATTTTTAAATAAATATTTTTTTACAATTTTGAAATTATAAGATTATAAATTAAATATATTTTTGAATTTTTAAAGAGACAATTTATAATTAAAAAGTACCAATTTTGGGCGTTGTAGGGGTGCTAATCCTTCCCTAAACGTAACCGACCACGAATCCCTTTTTATTATTAAAAAGAATAAATTTTTGGTTATAAAACGCAGATCAGTTCAATTTTTTATTGATGTTTTCTTAAAACTCTTTAAAAAAAATAATTTTTAGGTATTCGACCTACCTGATCCAAAAAGGTCGATGGCGACTCACAAATTATTTTCAAAATTATTTATTAATATTAATTTCCCCGCCAAATTTTAATATTTCGTGCCCGGACGAAAACCGGTTACGACAGATCCAATAAGCAAGAAGTGAACTTTCTGGCTCGTAAGTTGGATAGAGTCCTAATTAACACTAGTTGGCTTGAGGATTTCCCAGGCTCTTTTGTTGAATTCAAAGCCCAAGGAGTGTCAGACCACTGCCCTACTTTTATTTCTTTTTATAAGGATAATCAGGCTGACAGGCCTAAGCCTTTTAAGTTTTTTAACTGTTGGACTAATTATGGGGACTTCAAGAGTATTGTTAGTGAATCTTGGCAGCTTGAAGTGATTGGCTCTCCCATGTTCTGCCTGTTTGCTAAGCTCAAAAGACTTAAATTGAGGCTTAAGGAGTTCAATAGGTGTTACTTTGATGACATATCCAGAAGGGTTAGGATCAAGAGAGATCAACTTGAGCAAATCTTGCACAAGCTGGCTTTTATAGTGATGAGGAAAAGGCAGTTCACATGAGCTCCATGAACTTGAGGTGGCTGAAGCTTCTTTCTACAAGTAGAAAGCCAAGGTGCACTGGTTGAAGGAGGGGGATAGAAACACCAAGTTTTTTCACTTTGCTGTGATGAGAAAAATGAAGAAGAATACTATCATAATGCTCTATGATGAGGACGGCTCTCGGTTGGACACTTTTGAGGCCATGTCATATGAGATAGTGAGATTCTACACTCAGCTGCTTGGTATTGAAAATGTTGAGGTTCACAGCTGTGATGTGAACCTTCTCAAGATCTTGCTGGGTTATAACCTGCCTTGTGGTGGTGTTGCCCTCCTTGTTAGGGAGGTTTCAAAGGATGAAATTAAAGCTTCCCTATTTAGGCAAGAGAATGAGAAGAGTCCAGGGTATGATGGGCATACTTTTTCAAGGTAGTCTGGGACATTGTACAAGAGGATTTCCTTGCTGCCATTAGAGATTTTTTCCAGAATGGATCTCTGCTTCCTACCTTCAATGCCACAACCATTACTTTGGTACCTAAGACCCCTAATGCAGGTATGGATAGGGATTTTTTCCCTATATCTTGTTGTTCTGTTATTTACAAAACCATCACTAGTATAATTGTAAATAGATTGGCCTGCTTTTTCCCTGACATGATTCTGCCAAATCAGTATGCCTTTATCAAAGGGTGTAGTATTGTTGATAACACGCTTTTAGCTCAGGAAATTGTTAGGGGTTACTCGCGTAGCTTTCTTTTCCTTAGGTGTGCCCTTAAAATAGATCTAAGGAAAGCCTTTGATTCCATTAATTGGGTTTTTTGATGAATTTCCTTGCTGCCTTGGGGCTTTCTGAGGTGTTTAGAGGTTGGATTTCTGCTTGTATTACCGGTGCTAGGTATTTTGTGGCTTTTAATGGGAGTTTAGTGGGATACTTTAAAGGGAGGAGGGGAATTAGACAGGGTGACCCACTATCCCTTTACCTTTTTGTTCTCATTATGAATGTATTGTCTCATTTGCTAAATGTTGCTATTAGGGATGGCCTATTTAGATTTCACCCTAAATGCAAACGTGTCCTTCTTACTCATCTTAGTTTTGCTGATGATCTACTTATTTTCTGCCATGGTACTGAGGATTCAATATTGGGTGTTGTTGGGGTCCTTGGGGTCTTTTATGAGATGTCTGGCTTGCAACTTAATGCTGATAAGTCTGAATTGTTTGCTTGTGGTGTGCATGAGGGTATCTTAAACAGAGTGCAGGTTGTCACTTGGTTTAAGTTGGGAAGGTTCCCTGTTAGGTACCTTGGTGTGCCTTTAGTTACCATGAAATTATCTGTTAAGGACTGTCTCCCTTTGATTGATAAGATTAGAGATAAACTGAACATGTGGTCCAAGCTAAGGTTGAGCTATAGTGGCAGGCTGCAGCTTATCCAATCTGTACTTTTTAGTATTTCCAATTACTGGTGCAGGCAGTTGGTTTTGCCTAGTGAGGTCATTAGACAAGTGGAACAGCTTTGTATGAGATTTTTTTGGAAGGGTGATAACATTCATGCTAGGGGGCTAGAGTTAACTGGCAGCAAATGTGTTGGTTGAAGTCTGAAGGTGGTTTGGGCTTAAAAATCTTGGGTTGGTGCAACAAGGTGTGTTGCTTCCAATTGATCAGGAATATTCTAGCTAATGATGGGTCGCTCTGGGTGGCTTGGGTTAAAGAATATGTCCTGAAGGGGGCTCTTTTTTGGGAGGCTAGTTATAAGCCTCAACTCAGTTGGATTATGTGGAAATTGTTCAAGCTTAGGAACTCAGCTGCTGAATTATTTGGTAGTGTGGTGGACTGGAATATGGTTAAAAGTATTTGGGTGTGGGAGAAAATGAGAGGCGTGAGGGAGAAGGTAAGGTGGGAACATCTAATCTGGTTCCTTTGCACATCCCAAGAATGTCTATTATTGCCTGGATGGCTATTCTAAATAGTCTTCCAACCAAGGGCAGACTCATTCATATGGGAATGAAGTTGGATGGACGTTGTGATCTATGTTGTGATGGATTAGAAAGCAGGGATCATCTGTTTAACGATTGTATATTTGCAAGAGGGGTCTAGAGCAAAGTTCTGCAGACTTGTAGAATCCCCTGCAGGGTTCTGTGTTGGAATGATGCCTTGGTCTGGACAGAAACTAACTACAAGGGGAAGTCCTTGTTAGTCTATATTCTGAAGCTAGCTTGGATTAGTCTTGTACTATGTCTGGGAGGAACGCAATTTTAGGCTTTTCAGAGGCTGCTCTCGTGATCCTGAAGAAGTCTTTGATAGCATCAGGAGGACTGTTAGTGCCAAGTTGCAAGGCTACAACATAAACAAAGCTGATAGGGTCAACCTTCAACTTTGTGTAGAATGGAACATTGGTTAAATGACTGGTGCCTGCTGTATTTTCCTTTTATAGCTTGTTGTTTTGGTTCCTTTGGTTGCATTAGTTGTGTTGTCTGTTCAGACTTAGGTATGAGGTCCCTAGTAGGGGGTCAGTGCTTGTTCTGCTATTTAACAGTTGGTTCCTCTTGTAATTTGTAATTGTTCTTTTGGGTAATAAAAATCAAATTAACCAAAAAACAAATATTATCGTGTGACCATGTATGTTGGTGCTCTGCCTTATCCCACAACATCAAGATTAATATCTCTAACTTTATTTAAGAGATCTAATGCCTTATCCCACCAAACTATCTTATTGTTAGTATACGTAAAAGTGTTGTTAATTCAGTATTAACCCATTTAGCATCATTATTGATATAAATATTTAAGAGAGTTGATTTGATTGCGTTTAAGCACAATTATCTCTTACTTGAAACAATTAAACTTTTCATTCTCAAAATAATGAAACAATTTGATATGCCTACAACACAATTCTACACGTTGATTTCTAAACCGGGAGAAGTTTTCAGACTTTGTAAAGTACATCAAGTGTGACACTTGGTCGAGGAAAAACTTGTTGACATCTCACTAGAACATGAAGAATCCCAAGGCATGCTTGGCTTCCAAGCGTCCGCCACACTCATGGGAAAAGGAAAACCGAAGGGAAATCCAATGGATCGAACAACATCCCACTGATCAGCAACATGGGTGACATTGCAATGATCATCATTATTGATCACCATGTTCCCTTGCGTCTCATGGGGGAAAACCCCTGAAGAGAAGCCACCATTGCAATGATCTTGTGATCCACCATCAAAGTAATCTCCTAGCATGGAAGACGACATGTTTAGCAACACCGAAGTAACATCGACTTCCGATCGCGCCTGCGGTGAGCTTTGATCGATAGGCGCAAAAATAAGGCTCGTTAGGTCTCCATTGGACATGGGAAGTACTTGAGGAAGCTTCTCTGCAGCCATCTGGTTGATGATGGGCTTGTAAGGGAGAAAGTTTAGAGGAGAAAACGCAGCAGAACATGTCTGTAGTAGATCGGTGTTGTTGAGGTTAAACTGGACAGGTGATGAACTGGTTTTTGTGGTCAAGACTATGTTGTCTGAAGAAAGCTGAGAACTGTTTGAACCTCTACTAACCATATCAGATATCGACGATGTTTCGGGCATCGGAGAAACCCACGAATGACAAAGAGCTCTTTGAGCTGCGGAGTTGGTTTTCTTGAATATCTTGCATATCGCCCACGAGTCCTGCCAAAGTTTTCAAAGAAAGTTGATAAATAAAATAAAAAATAAGTGTAAAAAGGGTATAATCACAAAAATGTTCCTAACATCCTGTTAACTAATCACTTTACTCCCAATGTTTTATTTTAGGGCAAAAACCCTCCAAGGTTTGGTTAATAGTCACTTTGACACCTATTTTTTTGTTTTGAAATATTTTAGCCCTCAATGCCTTATTTTAAGGAAGGACATTGTTTTGGAGCATTTTACTCCCAATGTCTCATTTTAGAGTAAAAATGACACTTTTTGAAGCATTTTTTGTTTACTAACGATTTACATCCATAAGAGACTTTTTCCCTAAAAATGAAACATTGGGACTAAAATACTTTAAAAAATGATATGAATCAAAGTAAAAATTTAACTAAACGTGAGTATATTTTTGACATTAAAAAAAAGCAGAAAAGTTTGAAAGAAAATGCGGGTGTTTTGAGATTGTTTACATTGGCAGGAAGGCATTTGTCAAGGTATCTCTTTGGAGGTGCAGAGTCGGTGAGAGAAGGTAACCTAAACTCATGCATCATCCAATCAGTTTTCACCCCTTTGGCTGCTCGACCTTTGTAGAAAACAAGAGATTTCTTCAACCCAATGCACTTGGTGGTGCCTTCCAACGAATAGATGGGGCGGTCAGTTCCTGTGGCTTTCCAAAATCCAGCCCCAGTTACTCGATTTGGCCTCGCACTATTCCTGTATTTCCTGTCCCTTGGACAGTAGAAATACCACTCTTTCTCCCCGGTGGCCGCTAGTTCTTGATAGAAAAAAGAAACAAGCGTCAGTTTCCAATCTAGCAGAGTTTCAGTTTCACTGAAAAACAAGTATGGATATAGGCATATAGCCTATAGGGTTAACTTACTTGGAAGATCCCATGGATCATATTTATAGATGTCCAGTTGCTTAATCAGCTCTATTGAGAGAGGACGCTGCTGAATCTTTCTTTTCAGATAAAACCCAACGAGCTCTTCATCTGTTGGATGAAACCTGAACCCTGGCAGCATTATTTCTTCCATTTTATCACCATCACTTATTCTCTCACCCATTTTTTCTTCTTCAAACTAAACCCTAGAGGAAAGACTGAAGAGCAAGAAACTTGCTGACACAAGAACAGCTTGACAATGAAGCAAACCCTAAGAAACAAGCAAGGTTTAAATAAAAAGAGAGAGATTGAAGTTGAACTGAGACTGAAAGGTATCGAGTTGAGGTTTAAGTTTTCAGTTAATTTGAAGGCAATATATGCTACCTGAGGAGGGGTCTGCCCCCGAAGGATCAGCCGCTTTTTTGGTGACTTTTGAAAGGAGTGTACTTTGTATGTGTTTAGAGAGGATCGGTTGGCCCACCGATGAAGCGGACGGTAAACGCTTGTTATATAATAAAAGAGTAAATTACACAAATGTCCCCTGATTATATAGTGTTATTTTTTTAGTCTCTGGATTATTACAGGTTATAAAATGATCCTCTGAGCAACTATTCAAAGTTACAAAATGACCACTCGACTATTCATAAATTCATAATCGTCATTTTCCATTAAAAATGATAGTCGTGTGAGCTAGACATTAACATGCTGACTAAGATATAATAAAATCATATTTTAATGATATTTATTGGCACCCATGTTGCTTTCAAGTACTAGCTAGACAACATAATATAAACGAAGAATCGTTCCATAAAATACAATTTAAATAATTTTTGGGATCAAATTTAATCATATTTCAATTAATATGTTAACGTCCAAATCAGATGACCGTCAATTCTTTAAAATATGATAAGTTTGAAACATATGAATAGTCTAGAGACCATTTTTAGGTTTTAATAGTAGGGATACTAAAAAAAAGCTTTATATTTGGGGATCATTTTTTAATGTTAATAATCGGGTACTAAACAAATCAACATCTTATAATCGGGTGACTTTTTGTACTTTACCCTTATTAAAAAGGAAATTTACTATTCCGATAACATCTACCAAGAAGTGAAACCCAAGTCAGGAAATTGGATTTAATTCTACAAGGAGACTCTTATTTTTTTTCTTAATTTGAAGGTTTGTTTAATGAAGGATCTCAAGGAAGATGCATAGTCAGCAGCATCTGGGGATACTAAATCTGCAATTTTTTTAATACAAACAAATCCAAGTTCAAGTCAAGACAAAAGAAATCCCAAAATATCATGGTTTGGGGGTTTGAATTTGAAACCAACTCCCAATAAAAAAAGCTGAAACATATAATATGCATTTCGACTGTAAAAAAATCCAATGCCGATGTTTAGTATTATTCTAATGATTTTACGGTTTATCTCAGAGTCCGAAAATTCAGTTTCTATTCCATTCCCCGGAGCTTCTATTCCACTGACTTGGTCAGATTTTATAATATTTACTATTTTGTATCTATACAGAGATGAACATGTGACGATTAATCAAGTTTAACATGGACCAGTTTCCCTAACCGGGAATAAATACTAAATATATATATTTGTTGACCATCGTTTTGAGAATTAACACACCTAACTTTCACAGTTAATTACAAATTCAAACCCCTAAAAACCAAATCAATTGACTTTATGGAGATATATAGCTGTAAGGCTAATTAAGGCCAAATGCATAGAATTAACCATGTTTATGGTTCATAAACCATTTCATACGCATCCGGACTCTTAAGTAGCTTACTTTTTGAGAACATAAAATTTCCTAGGGTAACGTACACAAATGGTCCCCGACTATTAAAAGTAGAGACTTGATAGACATCGGAGATAGAAATAGAGATGACATTGAAACAAGATAAAAAAAACTTTGCCTTTTGTCGCTCAAAATTTAGATGAAACTATCAATAGTACTAGTTTACAATTCCAATGGGTTCGGGATGACATGGATGAAGATATTTATGAAAAATGATATGACTTAACAATGTAATAAGATTTTATATCTTAATTGATTAATATATTGTTACTAATATATCCATTAATAGTATTCTTGTAACTCATTAATAGTATTGCTATTTGTTTATTGCAGATATCATGCCTAGGAGAAAATTAAATGATATGTGAATTGTTCAAGCTCCTCAATAGGAGGAACAGACAAATAATGAAGAACCGATTAGTGGTGGATCTTCCGAAGTTTCGAATACAATTGAAGAAACAGTAGAAATTGAAGGTAATGTTCGATACTATATTTAAATGGTGGTCGATTTTTTATTAGCCTGATTTTGAAAACTTATACTAAATTATTTCTTATGTACGTAGTTGAAAATGGTCAAAGGTGCAAGACTAAAGGTCGCACGCTAATGACAGAATTATATGAGCTTCCTGATGAAAATTGTGTCAGTTTCGAGCAATGATGTCAGCCAACCTATTGGGACAGAAGAACGTATTCTGGCTGGTTACTTAGGTGTGATTGCTCACAATGCTAATCTTCTACCAATTAATTTTCAATCATGGCATGAGATGCCGAATAGTAACAAAAATCATGATGTGGATTGTATTAAGGTAATAATTTCATTGTAATATATAATTCATTACAGTTCATTACTAGTTTATATTTACTTTTTAACACGTGTTATTTGTAGGATAAATTTCTCTAGAGGTCTCAAATGCTTATTTGAAGTAAGCGTTAGGAAAGAAATGAAGAGACCACAAGAGTTCCTTAAAAAATAATTATTTTAAGAATGATCTCAGCCTAGAGCAAAAGCTGCAAAATGTTCCACCTGGACAGTTCATGTATCAATGGGAAGCTGCAGTAAGGTTTTGGAATTCAAAGAATGAGAGGTATGAAGAACTTTAAAAAAAAATATTATGTCACTATAAATCTATAATTTTCACTAAGCCATGTAAATTTCAAACTGTAAGATCAAGAGCACATTGTCATTGCTAGAAGATACCAACAAAAGTTTACTCACGCAACTGGATTGAAGGGCTTTGCTCGTGTAGCACATGAGGAGGTATTCTTTTTTTAATTATGATTATTCACATAGTAATAAACATTTTTCCTATTATTTATTAATTTTTTGTAAGTACTTATTTGTGTTATATATTGTAGGAAACTGCGTTCGGTAATCGAGTTGGATGAATAAAGCTCTTCAAACTTATACATACAAAAAAAGATGGCTCTCTAATGGCTCCTGAAGCTGTAGAAATCATGGTATATTTATTGGACATAAATTTTGAATTATGTTAAATTTTATATTATTTTTATAATCCCTAACGTTTCAATTTATTCTAAATTTTTAATTGATTCTTAGGAAAAATTGAGTGATAAAAAGACGGAGTATGAAGCTACGACTTCATCTCATGGTTCCATTAATACGGACGAGATTGAAAATCAAGTTATTGCTGAAGTTTTTGGTCCTGAAAGATATGGTCGAGTTCGCTGTCAGGGATTATTCGTTACCCTATCCAAATATTTTGGATCCAGTTCATCTCAGTACATTCCATCACATAGCCAATATTCTCAATTAAAAGTTATTCGATTAAAAAAGCAGTTGACTGAAGTGGATAAAAAATTTGCTCAAATGAAAGTTGAAGTTGAAGCGATAGAAGCAGAACGATAAGCCAGAGAAGTAGAGAGAGAATCAAGAGAAGTAGAGATAAGCTGAGATAAAATCAATAGAAGTAACATATTAGACAAAATATGATGAACTTCAAAAACAACTTGAAGCTATGAAGCAAATGATGCTTCAATATCAACCGAAAAGTTTACCACCCTAGGTGATTTCTTAGGTTCATACTCTATTTACTCTAGTTGTTAAACTATATTACATTTCCTTTTATTGTAGAACTACATTGCATTTCACTTAAATGTTGAACTACATTACTCGAATGTTTGTAAACTCTGATTTATTTATGTTGTTAAGTATTTTTTTACTTAATTCGAGTCATATCAAGGTTGTTATGGATATTGTTACGGGATATATTAAATTTGGGAAATAAAGAATACAATTAAGCATTTGTAAATCAGTCACGACTAGCGGCGTTTAAGGAAGAAAAATGCCACTAAAGGACTACAAATTTTGCGGTATTTTTGCTTCCAAATACCCCTAAAATTCCTAACCTTTTACGGAGTTTGTAAAAAAATGTCGTTAAAATCCCTAATCTTTTGTAGCGTTTGTAAAATAAACACTGCTAAAAGTCCTAACGTATTGCAGAGAAAAATTCAAAGGATTAGAATATTACACATAACCACTGAAGTTGCTAACCATTTTTTTTAAAATCAAAATTAAATCATAGATAAACATTCATCGTTTTAAAACGTGATATAACCAAATATAATCAGGGAGCTCCCGATAATACATCCCAAAATACAAGAGTTTATTAAAAAGAGTTATGAGTCAACATTGATAAGGTTTATGAAAATACATATCCACCAAATACTCGAGACGTACTTTGATACTCGTTCAAGTATGGAATCTACGGACTGGCGATGAACTGCTCGAACCAACAATTACAAACTTGCGCATAGAAACATATTCTGAATTATGAGCTCACAAGATTAATGTAACTCAAATAACATTACTATATTACATGCATTCAACAAATGAGCATGCTACAAGTATAGTCATAAATAAGAATGTACATCAAACACATAACACAAGTAAGCATCATGGTGTACGTACAGGTTAAATCAACATTACGAAACTCACACTCCTATTTGCTTACGAAAGGTACCTTGAGTAAGACCTAGGTTAAATGGTATCAACGTCTTACACTAATGACACTCATCGCCAAGTACCTTGGGCGAGGTCTGGGTCACGTAGCATCGACTCCTTGCTCGATTAATCTACTCTTCTTGAGTATATGGGATGTGTTCGGGTCACGAAGCATCGGAGTGATGTCCAACTAGCATCTGAAATGCCTTGCACTTAGTTAGATATATCCAGATATTTCTTACACAATTAGACGATTTTCGTAAACAAGTAACTTGGGTGTCTCTATTGTTTCCTAAGCATCAAACAAAGGCATAAATAAGTCTTATGGAATCTTATCCTACAAGGTTCTTATGTTATCGCACAATTGTTAATGTTCTCTCTTGCAAGCTTTTAGTAAGAGGTTTCTATCGATATTAACCCCTTTTTGGGTCCCTTGATCAAAAAAGGCATATAGCCCTTGCACTGACGATG